TCTCTGAGGCAAACTTCTTGTAATTTCTATAAGTAGTCTTCAGGAATAATTCTCCAGGATTCTTGAAGGACAGTCAAAGCTCTTCTTTGGATCCGTTCTCTGCTAAGATGATCCCACAATGCTTCGATAAGGTTGAGGTATGAACTCTGGGGAGGCCAAGCCATGACTAATAATGTTCCACTGTGTTTTTGTTTTTACTGAATCTGTATATGCTTTCATTGCATTGCCATTTTGTTTGGGATTATAGTCAATTCAGATGCTTTCTGCATAGTATTGAACGGTGGATTGAAATCTGACTGTTTTTCTTTTTCCTTTCTATTTTGATATTTCAATTTTCAAAATTGAACCAGTAGCTGTTCCTCCATGTTTTACAGATGGTTGTAGACACTCACTGACAATTACTGTTTGGCTATTTGAACAAACGTTTCATATTTGAATTCATTACACCATCAGGCCTGTTGGCAGTGATTTTTAGTCCAGTTCTTGTATAATATGGCATACTTCGACCTTTTCTCCCAGGTTCTCTTCCTTAAGAATGGCTTCTCGACAGCCGCTCTTTCATTCTGATGTGGCTTTGGACATGACTTTCAGATACTGTTCAGCTGCTGTTAATGCTGTTTTTGTATGTTTTTTTCTCATGCCTGCTGCTTCTTTTGTCCTCTGCTTTTCCAGTTTCCGCAAATATTTTTAAGGACACACTGCAGACCTTGCTAAGCTATGACAAGTTTTCACCTCGATGGTGCAAATGCTTAAGGAAACCACTTAAAGTTGGTTCTTTAAGTACTTTGGCTTAACAAACAATAAGAAATAAACAAAAAAAAATTCTATAAAAATGATCAGGGGCAAGTACTGTAGTAACAATCGCTGTCAAAAACTTTAAAAGACCTCCAGACAGTCAGGAGAATTATTAATCAAGACCATTAAAAACAAACAAACAATAAAGTCTGGATCCTGAGAAGCAAGATATTTATTTATTTATTTTTAAAAGAGGGGCAACTCAAGACTTTCACACAGTAGAAATAGCATGTTTCACAAGATATTGGTGATATATTTATAGGACACGTTTGTGCAACACAAACCGCCTTAGACCTTAGACCAAAGCTGTTTGCGCTGCACCTGCTTGCTCAAGTATGTAGGGCACACGGAGAAGTTGTCATCAGCTCTAAACGTACTTCTGAGAACAGAACATGCAGTGTGTGTGCATGCACTTGGCTGGCAAGTCAACAATCATGTTCAAGGTTCATCTTGTTTGGTTAGTATAAATAAACGTGATTCACTCAAGAAATGCTTCTCCCGTTTCGTTTCATGTTGATTGATCATTTGGGCAAAAGTCTCCTCGCGTTGCTTCAGTTTGCATTAGGGTGAAGCTCTCAAAGCATGTGCTCACTGCATGTAATCAATCAGTGCTGGTTGATAAGACTGCTGAAGTGATGATCACAACTGAAATAAGTCAATAATGTGGCAAAAGTAACTGAAGTTTAAAGTGTTCATTTTAAATTTAAAAGTGTAATAAAACTGACTTACTGATCTATCTAACACAAACTCAAGTCCAATATTTATAGAGCATGTTTTAAAAGGGCCACAGCTGATTGAGGTGCTGTTCACATTATGGGACAGACAAGAACAAGAAGAATATTTCACAGCACGGAAATGGGAATCAAAATCAAAATGTAAATAAAACAAGTGAGATAAACCTGATACCTTAAAACAGAAGACAAAACTAGAATGAAGAAGGAAAATCTGCACTTTAAACATTGTCATTTCCCAGCTCTCAGTGGCATGCTTATTTGTTAAAACAGAGGTTTAACCATAAAAAGGATGTTCAGACCATGCACTTGATCCACAGCTGTATTTAGAATGCAAACACACACACTCACACATATTTATATTCCGCATACATTATAGATGAGGAAGCACATACATAAAATGCACAGGGACATCATGGTCATTTAGTCCGTGTTCGTGCTCTTTCGATCTCTTGATGCATGTTCAGTTTTACCCGTCAGTGTTGCTCAAACGAACGATTACGATGTGTAATTTGTAAGCGCCCTATTTTCCTCAGTCCAATCTAATCCACAGCCTTCTTCCATTGAGTAAGTGCTCCGTGCGGTTGTTTATTTTTTTTTGTTACTGTTGACATAGTACAGTATGTGTGCAGCTTGGCCTGAAGAATTCAAAGATAGCGTGCCCGAAGCAAGCTAATTAAATGTTACCATTTACTTTGACAGAAAACATAGATTGTCACCTCTTTACG